CGAAGTTTTAATAATAGATTAGATGACTTTCGAACAAACATTAGGGAAGAGATGATATTCAGCAACATGCTAGTCGAAATTTCGATGCATGTTTTTATTCAAATACTTGTAGCTTATACTGTCGTCTTCTACAAGAGTATTGCTGTTTGAAATAACATGATTTCAACATTAGTACTTTAGTCTTTTGAAAGTTTTGAATTCATCATAATTTACAATAGTTTAAACAATTTCAATGTCCTTCTAATATATATTTTAGTTCCTTTAATGTCAACAACTCTCCCCCACAAAACGTTTTTACAAACAATAACAGTTGTCACCACTTGCCATCATCCAGCAGTGGTGAATACATGCGGCTACATTTGAATCCTGTTAATTATGTCCTGGTTGTATGAAAATACATATTTCAGTCTTTCTAAAACCATTAAAGCTAACGGTTGTTCGCATAGAGCTTTACAAGGATTAACCGTTACACATTTTCACTCTCGCGCGCGTTACGTGCATTACTACTTACTACTACTACTTCTCTTCTTTTGTTATATTGTACTCTTCTACTAAAGAAAAAAAAATAATATTTTGTTGCTCGAAACGATTTTTATTTAAAAACAGTTTTTAATTTCCGGTACTGTTCTGTTAATCTATTGACAACAACATAAGTGAAGTGAACTTGTGTTTGTCATTCGCATCCTTTATACACCCACATACTATCACACAAAACATCAAGTCAATCATCTAGTTTTTATCAGTGAAATAATAACAACGACAACAAGTTGATGGTATTTGTGCGTTTTAGTTCCTAAAAAGTTTTCAGTTTTTGTATTATTATTATTGTCATTGTTCAAACGATAAATGTAACAGTATATAGTTTTTGGTTTTTTTAATCTAAACCGACTTTATAACCGACGGCTAAATATAGTTGTTTACTATTATAGTTGTTGTTGTAACTGTAAAATCCTGTACACAATATATACATGTATTTCTATATGTAAGGGAGTATTAAGGAGTATTAACTAAATTGAAATTTCAACATCATCATCATCATCATCTAAGGATTAATAAAAAAATTTCACTTTGTCATCAACTGATTGTGTCTAAAGCTCGAGGAATAGCAAAACAACAATAATAACAATCAGCATCAAAATTACTATCCTCGACATTATATTACATACATACATTCATTCTTTCATACGAACATAGATACGTGTATCGTTTATTTGATTAAACAGTATTTCTTACTTCTTCATTCATTCATTCATCATACATACATTTCATTTATTTGTTCATTCATTTTACTGTAACCGTGTGAAAATCCTTTTGATCCCTACATGACATCCCGTGAGTGTGTATATGAGTGATTTTCTTGTTTTCACTGTGGTTTAGGGAGCTTGTATAAAATCTCATTTTGAAAAACATCTTCCTTTTCCTTTACAACAAAAAGCCAAACACCCACATACATAGAACAACAACAAAATAATAATATTAATGAACCTGCTACAATTTACAACAACAACAAATAATAGTAACAACAACTGAAAATCTAGTCTATTGTTTCGTAAAATAAAATTATAATAATAAGAATGAATGAATGAAAAAAACTAACTACAACTCATTAAAGTGTCGTAAAAATAAAGTTTCATATCATCATTCGCATCATTGTGGTTTAAATTGTGCTTCAAGGTAGTTGCGACAATCTGTTGTTCACATCTAGTGTCTTAATTTGCATCATTTCCGCCCTAACGCCCTAAAATAATACAAATAACAATAAAAAATTTAAGAGAGAAACCCGCATACGTCTAACTTTGTTGTTGAACTTTAGCGAAATATCAACGAAAGGATTACAATGATATTGAGTTTATTACTTGGCCTTAAAACACATTAAGGGCATAATTAAAATACAAGTTGGAAGAAAAAAAAAAACGGCAAGAATAAAAGAAAAAGTTTTTGTTTTAAAAATCAACTAATTAAATTCAATTGAAAATTAAAGAAAAAATCCATGTACATATTTTTAAAGTAAATAAAAATAAAATTGTTAAAGTGCTTAAAGAAATTGAAAGTGTAAAAATTTTAAAACGAAAATAAAATAAGTTAAAAATATAATATCAACCAACGAACTGGATACAATTACTGGATAACTGAGAAATGTGACCACATTAAGCTGCTTAAAAAAGTGATAAGTAAGGATTTAAAAATTATAAAAAAGTCTTAGTAATAGAAAACCAATACTATTATTTTTTGTAACAAACATATTTACACATACATACATACATACATATAGGTTTTCATATATACATACATACATATGTACATATACATACATGTTAAGTTATTGTTCCCTTGCAGTTCGCAGTGGCTGGTAACTCATCACTTACTACTTACTTTCTAAGGACTTTACGGAAACAAAATTTAAAGTGTCGCCTTTCTAGATTATTTAGTGACACTCCCTCTTCCTCAATTGAGCCTCAATTGATTCAAAAATAATACAAATTCAAATCAACGAGTATTGCTAAAAATATATACATTTACTCGTTGCAAAACTGCTGGGATATTTGCAAATATGTATAAACACTCACACGCCCTAACAAAATACTCGACTAGATATTATGCATACACACAAACAAAACAATATTATTTTCTATACACTTACAGGGTGGGTCAATAAAATATGAATTTTTAAGCCTAAGCTATTTGAATTAATTACCAATTTATGTCCAAAAGTTATAAATACTTGTACGAGGATTATAGCGAAAGTCTCGGTTTGAAATAAGTTAAGTAGACGAAACTACAAAAGTTATGGGCAAATTATAATAATGGGCCTTAGGCGAGTTTATAAATATTAGAACTTCTGTTTGAAACACCCAAGAGAAGTATATTTCCTGTAATTTGAAGAAGGTTCTTAGATCAAGCTATGTAGAAGTTTAAATGAAAAAGTCCCATGGCTTGGGGAAAAACATGCTTATTACTTCTCTATATCACAGGCCTTTTTTTAATTTTTAACGTATACAGGATTACGAGCACATCTATGCAAAATTGGACGTGCGGATTCAGAAGAATGTAGAGCATGTGGAAAGGACAGTGAAACTCTGGAGCACTTTCTTTGCCAATGCCAGGCATTCGTCAAAGTTAGATCCAATTATCTTGAAAGTGATGTTATTCCGGAAATAACATTCCTGACTAACACTGATGGGAAAATTCTTAGGAATTACGTTCAGGAAACTGAGTTTATGAACACTGAAAAATAATTCATTCAGTTCCTTTTTTTATGATAAGGAGCGCACAACAGGCCCGATAGTGGCCTAGGTGTATTTCTTCGGATTTGATGTAGTATACATCCTCCTATCAATCTACCTACCTACCTAACCCATAGACCAATGTATACTATTCCAAAGGACTGAGCTTCGCTGAATCCCAAATAACATATGTGATATCTGTCGATTAAAAAAAAACACCTTTTTTGCCCTTTTTGAGACGTTATAATGGCACCAAGACAACTCTATTTATAAAATGTTTTACGAAAGTCCATCTGAAATTCCATCGAAATCTTGAAACCCAGATGTGATATCTGGCGAATTTGAAAAAGTCACCTATTTTAGCCCTTTTTGAGACTTTATAACGGCACCAAGACAACTTTATTTATACAATTTTGTATGAAAGTCAGCTTTAAAATGACATCTTAACATCTTCAAGATATCTTCACCTAAAGCTTGATACAACAATAAATTGACAAAAACTGAATTTTTCGTACATTTCGTTTTTATATTAATTTTTTTCAGATTTTTTTTCTATAAAAGTTTTTAAATTGCTTAAAAATCTGTTGTAATTGCTGAGATATCGTCCATTGAAGCCGACGGATGGACAGACATCGTCAAATCGAATCACAAAGTGATATTGAGTCGATTGGAACATACTGAGGTAGTTGTGGATCCAATTTTTTTTTTAGATATTAACAATACATATTTTCAAACCATAATTACTTTCCGCACTATAGTAGTGTAGGGTATAAAAACCATGAATATTTCGAAAACCATGAGTTTTCAAGCTTTAGGTGAATATGTCTCGAAAAAGAAAGTAAATATTCGTATTCAGCGCAGCTCAATACTTTAGACAAGTATGGTTTCAGTGTCTCGACTTTTTTCAAATTTTGTCGACCTGTGTAATTTATCGAAAGACCAAAGTATACTTTTCTAATTAATTGTGCTGCGTTGTTTCCGAACCTGGCCTCAGATCTCGAAGTAGAAAAGAAAGGTTAAATCTTCATTTTTAAGCCAAGAAGTTGGACTTCCACATGATTGTGAAAATAGTGGTATCTTCGTACTGTTTTTACGTCTTAAATATGGTCAAAAATGGATTTTACAATACTTATGACACGATATCTCGAAAGTGTAATGAGATTGAGAAATTCTAAGGCCAGATTCTGATTCAGTGTTGTTGGTCTGTGAGATTTATTAAAAAGAACCCAGAATCTACTTTTTATGTTAAACGCTTAATATTACATTGAATTTTATTGTTAGATTTCTTCATTCATCTTTAAATTATTCTCCTTATAAAAATCTAAAAAGAAATTAAAAATTTTTTTTTAATATTTTTTTTTTTTTTTTTCATTCATAGCCACTTATCTTCATTCATCACACTTATCAAATATTTGATATGAAATAACGTAAAAGCTATTTCTAGTAAATCTTAAATAATATCGTATCTAATTATAAAGTTTTCTAAAACCTATGTATACACAGAAAAAAATTACGACAAATCAATTGTCATATTAAATACGAAATTTGACAATACAATTAATTTATTAATTGAAAAGGCACCAACAATCGTTTTTGTAAATACAAAAATAAAAATTGCTACTTAAAATTGTTAATACTCCAAAAATTTTTTCAACAACCAGTTTGTAATATTGAAAAATTATTTTATTAACTATCCATAATAATGTTTTAAAAATTAAATTTCTTGTATTAAATATTTCTATTGTTATCAGCAATAATGAAAGAATGCATTTTTAATTTGGTTTTTATAAAAAAATATATTCAATTTATTTCGTCAAAATATACAGTTTGAAACAATGGACAATAATTAAAATTTTAAGTTTATCTTTATAATGTACTGTGTAATATTCTATATAATAATCGAAAATATATATTCACTGATTAACTACATTATATATTAATCTTGTACCACTTCCCCCAGACCACTGGTCCATGTTCCTTCTCTCTATTACATGGTACTTGGTGAATTCTCTCTTTAAAGACTTCGTCTTTGCTACCACGATTTAACCAAGGCAGATGAATACGAACCTTTGCTGCCGTTCATTGAAATTTTCTAAAATGGCCACAAAATAAATTTTTCTTAGTTCGAATACGGGGAGGAGATGTAAACATGTATTAATGTCAAATTGATTTTTACCTTAACATAGAAAAGTTTCATAATTTAAGCCAATCCTGCGCTGTAGGTTCTTTGCCTCCTGTTAATCCCGTCACTCCCTACAGAAATGAGAGATATTAAAAACGCTTTAAGATAAAAGTTAGAAAAGGATTTTAAATTAAATTTACAGCAATTGGTTTTTCCTTGGATGTCTCCACTTCAGGAACATGAAAATTAATGTTGCTAAAGAGTAATGTTTATGAATCGATGTTACTTTCTTTCTTGGAAGGTTATATAGTGTTGCTGTTGTATTATGGAGATCGATGACGTGTCGCTTTTGGTAGATTGCTGGCTTCTGCACTAGCAAGCCAGGCTCACACACTTTATCCATAAATTTCTTTTTAACAAACTCAGGCAACACAGCACTCAATTTAGAAATATTTTCCAACGATGTTTAAGCATAAATCAAATCATTTTGTTCCGCGGAGTTATGGAACTGACTGGTGGTTATTCTTCCAAATAAAAATCTAAAAGTGGTAAAATTATTTATGATTTAAAAATTAATATGTATTTTGACCACTCTACATACCTTAGAGATTGCTTTTATTCATCTAGTTCATATCTTGCATGCGGAATTTCCTTTTTGAATTTTAGATTATTTTAAATTTTTTTTAAATTAAAACTTTTTGACAATTGTATTTTCTATTTCTTTTATTATGAATTTTGAGACAACTTAGGAAAATTGTAAATATGACCAATTTACAAACATTTTAATAAAAAAATTGTTAACAAAGTCAATTGATCCTTAACATATTTATGTAATTACTTAATAAAATTTGTAATTTTTTTCTGTGTATCTTCAAAACTATGACATGTACTATGTGTTAATAAAATAAATATTGGTTTTCTTTGATCATAATGTAATTTTTCTGAGTGGTCACGTATATTCACAAACATTTTTGTTATTGTGAACATACATACCGCAACATATACTCTTACACTTTCTTTTGAATAGCCTTTGTTTATTTATATAAATTATATGTTATAAAATTACAAAGAAATATTATTTATTTAAGTCTTAGCTACAACATCATTAATCTGTCATCTCTACATATAATAAAGTTATTCAAATATTAAAAACATCTCAAAATATTAGTTAAACTTTAGCCTGAAAAATATTGTTAACTCACCCTGTAAAAAGATATTGGATTACGAGTTAATATACTTTTGTAACAAACAACATTTGACACCTTTTTACACGTTTTTTTTACGGACACACATACACACACAGCTGTATAACATCATATATAGACATTTTCTGAAAACCTTTAGTTAGCAAACGCCCTCATAGAAAATGAAATGAAATAAATACTTTCTTTGAAAAATCCCTCACCTACTACAACAGATCTAGAAATATAAAGAGGAAATATTAATATTGTAAAACCTTTAGGAACTATAGTATACACAACACAAAGTTTTCCACAAACATTCACATCATAATAACAAAGTGTGAGTCCTTTAAAGTAAAATAAAGTCGACTGTATGGTCATGTACTTATAGAAATACATGTGTTTGTATAAAAGTAGACCGCTTTTCAAGTTAATTGAAAAATCTATTGTAATACATGTTCAGTTTAGGTCTTTTCCATGCTTTTTTTACATTTTGGCGAGAAATCGAGCCCAACTACTAATACATTTACATAATAAACATACAATATGAATATGTTTGAGAATGTGTAAAAATCCTTTAGTTTATCTTCTCTAACCGCTTTATTGTTGATATTCCTTTATATATTTTTTTAATACAAAAACACAGATAGTCATATAAATAGACCTCGCAGATCGTGGGGCTGTTCCGAATTAGTGGTCTTATTTGTCAGTAAGAGCTAATCTTGGATACTTAATAAGTTATATAAATATTAATTAAACTTAAGTGAATCTGCAATAGATTACTTTTAGCAAGATAAATAAGTACTTACTGAGGCAAAGTAAATATCTATCTATCTATCTATCTGTCTATCTATCTATCTATCTATCTATCTATCTATCTATCTATCTATCTATCTATCTATCTATCTATCTATCTCTATCTATCTATCTATCTATCTATCTATCTATCTATCTATCTATCTATCTATCTATCTATCTATCTATCTATCTATCTATCTATCTATCTATCTATCTATCTATCTATCTATCTATCTATCTATCTATCTATCTATCTATCTATCTATCTATCTATCTATCTATCTATCTATCTATCTATCTATCTATCTATCTATCTATCTATCTATCGTCTACCTATCTATCTATCTATCTATCTATCTATCTATCTATCTATCTATCTATCTATCTATCTATCTATCTATCTATCTATCTATCTATCTATCTATCTATCTATCTATCTATCTCTATCTATCTATCTATCTATCTATCTATCTATCTATTCTATCTATCTATCTATCTATCTATCTATCTATCTATCTATCTATCTATCTATCTATCTATCTATCTATCTATCTATCTATCTATCTATCTATCTATCTATCTATCTATCTATCTATCTATCTATCTATCTATCTATCTATCTATCTATCTATCTATCTATCTATCTATCTATCTATCTATCTATCTATCTATCTATCTATCTATCTATCTATCTATCTATCTATCTATCTATCTATCTATCTATATATATATCTATCTATCTATCTATCTATCTATCTATCTATCTATCTATCTATCTATCTATCTATCTATCTATCTATCTATCTATCTATCTATCTATTTATTTAACGAACTAGCTATCTACGAAGACACATCTTTTGAATAATCTATGGAAATCTGAGTTCTTTTAAACCTACTGGGAGTTGCATATTAGATAAACATATATTCTAATACATACATATGTATGTATATTTGTATGTATGTGTGTTTATGTATTTAAGTAGTCCATATGATTCCACTTTTTCTCTCTTGTTTTTGGTTATGGTCTAGCACTTTTTAGTAGGTTCTTTTTTATACATACTTTTTGTTGTAGTTTTTTTGCTTTGTCCGTTTGTTGAGTTCCATACACATCAGTCTGAAATGTATGCAAATTGTTGAAAGTCTTTTTTTAAGGGGTTTCCTATTTTTTTTTTCTTAATTTTCTATTTCACTTTTATTTTTTAATATTATTTTTTCTTGCTTTATTTTTTGCTTAGGACTGGAATGAGTTAATACAATTGCACTTTTAACCTAAAGCACAAAAAGTTATATAAACACTTGACTTATTTTTCAATTTGAGTAATTGTACTGAATCTTTTCGAATACATATTTTATATCCCATACAATTTGTTATTTAAGATAGTGTCAGTAGGGATATTAAAAGAAATTCTTGGTAAATGTTGACTGTCACCATTTTAACTGATCCCTGTCCTTATATATGGTCGTTTGCTTTAATGTTGATGTGACTTGGTGTGTTTGTATGTATTAACGGAAATGCTACATTTACTTGTGGTTGTGTCGTGTTTTTTCAACCATATCCTCAGCAGCTTATCAAAAGAATACTATATACATACACATATACATACACATATACATACACATGTATATTCTTGATTGTGTGCACAAAAAAGGACATGTTAAAATGCTTTAATTAAATTTTATTAAAATGTTAATTTATTTCTTATGTATACATGGCAGTTTTTTCGTAAATGTGTGTGTCTCTGTTCATCTTTTCATTTTATATTTCTTCCTTCCTTTCTTTAAATTTATCCGCAAAATATCAGGTACTATTAAGCCTTCGTTGGGATATATGTTTAAATGAGATTAAAAGAACTTTTAATTTCAGTTTCGAAATTCAACTCCGTAAGGATGTCAGTTGTAATTTCGTAGAAAATGTTAAGTTTGTTAATGTTACGAGAAAGGCTTATTAAAAGTAATCTGATTTATATGAATTGACTTAAGTTGCAATTTAACAATGAAAACTATACTAATAATGAATATAATACAATATTAATGTTGATTAGTACGTCATAAGCTAATAAATAAATAATATAATGTTAATGTTTCTCATTTACTACAAGACTAACATAACTCAAAAGTTGGATCTTTTTAAACTGAGTCCTATGCTCTATTCTATAATATTCAATATAGTTTTATCTATTTTGGAAAATGCTTATTATATTTGTTTGTGACAATATTGTTGTAAATATCAAGTTTTAAATGAAAAATCTACTCTAAAATAAGTCTAATATTAATATTTGATTTATTAAAGTACCGTTTATCTAGAAACAAAATTATGCCAGTCTAATAGTAAATGGGCGATGTACATTTGAATGGGCGGTAATGGGAGGAAATAGCATTAATGGTTAGAATTTCTCTCGCCCACTGTTAAGCACTTTAAACTATATACTTACTTAATAGTTAAATAAGTTATGTATTGAAGGCAGTTAGAAGGAAAATGTCAGACAAAATAGTGAATGTTGTTTGTAGTTTTTTCTATTACAGTGTGATTTTTATTCCTGAGCATAGAGTCTACATACTTCTCTAAAGAATTGAGCAGCGCTGAATCCGAATATGACCATCAAATCAGGTTATAGGTTATAACAGCGCGAAGTCATCTTTATTTATAAAATTTATTATGACATCTGAAAATCCAATCTATCGACTTTAAAATTATAATTCAATTTCTGTAATATTTTCTTTCTTTTTCGAGATATCTGAACCTAAAGCTAGGAAAATAAAATTTTCTCATAAAAATACTTTTTGAATTATTTAAAAATCGCTTGTCTTTGCTGAGATGTAGTTCGTTGATGTTGATTCTAAACGTTAAGATATCTCGAAAAATAAGAATGGTTAAACCCTTATTTTGAAGTCGAAAGATTGGACTCTCAGATTAAATATGACAAACTTCATCACACGATATCTGGAAAAATTGGATAGGTATGGTAGTGGTAATACTAATGTTTTTGAGTTTTTCCGACTTATTTCGACTTTTATGTTAAAAATCGATTATTAGACATTTTCTTACAAGACTTTTCGACATAATTGGGACAAAATAGTTGGCATTTTTCGACAAAAGCCGATTGTTCAAAAATCGGTTTACATTCAAATTATAATTACTTTAAAATAACTACTACCTTTCTAAATATGTTAAGTGCTTTAATTAATTAATAATTAGCTTTAGATTATAATTACATGACTTATGTATAATCCAAATCGGCCCATTCCATTAAATTTTAAAAACTATAAAACTTTCATATACTCGACTCTTTTCTCTGTGATTAACCTACTTATGTAAGTACCTATTAATGATTAAAAAAATCTATAATTAATTAAATGTCCATTTACGTTTAGAGAACATACAAAAATTATTAAATAAATAAATATTTTCAAATCATTTACTTAACAATAATTACACTATGTAAAATTTTTGTTCATTTCCAAATGCATAAGCACGAATTACTTAAAAACAATTAGGGTGTGAAAAAAATTTAAGCCACCGTGACCATACAAAAAGAAAAAAAACTTTACAAAACATTTAAAAACAATTTCGAACAAAAGAAAATAAAAATCCATAGAATTTCTTAATAACTTTATAAAAATTGTCAATAAAATTTAATGGTTTTATTACTCCTATGTATAGAATCATAAAAAGAGAAAAATAATAATAAAAGCGTAAGGAAAACCTACATATAAATTTGAAGGATACAATGTAAGGAAACACCACCACCACCACTAAGCAACGGCTCGTCCTTATTACTTGGT